CTTCTACACTGTCTCTTCCGTCTCCTTTCTGAGTGTCTCCTTCTACACTGTCTCTTCTGTATCCTTTCTGAGTGTCTCCTTCTACACTGTCTCTTCCGTCTCCTTTTTGAGTGTCGCTTCTGTCTCCTGTGTCGAGTGTCTCTTCTGTCTCCTTCCACCACTGTCTCTTCTGTCTGCATTATAGAGTGTCTCTTCTGTCTCCTTCTGTGTGTCTCCTGTCTCCTAATTTCAGTGTATGTGTCTCTTTAATGTTATTTTTATTGTCTTTGTTCAGGAAAGGCAGGTAGAGGACGAGCAAAGTTTACAGGTTTGTTTGAATTGCTGCAAAGAGGGGCCAGGGGCTCTCAAAGTGAAGGGTCTCTCTTCACTCCCAAAACAAGAATGATATTCCTTGGAGACAGCTTTGAACGGTTAGTCTTCTTCTAGCAGCAGCAGCAGCTGCTGCTGCTGCTGCAGACACTGCAGCAGTAGCAGCAGCAGCAGCAGCAGCAGCAGCATTAGACACTGCAGTTGCAGCAGTTGCAGACACTGAAGCACAACGAACCAGCAGCAGGAACAGACAGCAGCAGCATCAAACAGACAGCACAAGCCCAAAGCACATGAGAGCAGCAGCAGCATTAGCATGAGCAGCAGCAGCAGCAGCAGCAGCAGCAGTGGTGGTGATAGTGCTAATAAGAATATCACTTGTCCCCGTGTCTCCTCTCCTATCTACATGTCTCTGTTTCTGTCTCTGCTTCGCTTTCAATTTTTTAAATGTCTCCGATGTCTCTGTTTCAATTCATCGTTCTTCTTTACCCCTTTTTCTTCTTCTTTTTATGTTTCTGTCTCTGTCTCCATTTCTACTCTCATCTTTGTTTTATGCTTCCCTCTATACATATATATATATATATATATGTATATATATATGTCTCTCTCTCTCTCTCTATACATATATATATAGAATTCTATCAGTATTAATTAACAAATTAATTACTAAATTAGTTAATTAATTAATTAATTAATTAATTAATTAATTAATTAATTAATTAATATGTTTGTCGATTTGTTATTTTCTCTGTCTCCTTTACAGGGATTTGGCTGCCGGTATATCACTGGGTATTGCGTCTCCAGCTTATGTAGCAACATTCTTACATACGGTGTATGCACAAGAAAATAATATGTCTCCTGCTACTGTCCCTAAGACATTCCTTTCTATGAATTCTTCAGAGACACAACTGCCTCAGGAAGCACTTCCTTTTATGCTGCCGTAAGGGAAACACTTATTATAATACACTCATATACAAGTAATCAAATATAGTATATATATATGCATTTATATATCTGCGTTTAAATATATATATATATATATCTTTATATTTATTTATATATATAGCAAGTTGTCTTTCGCTGTCTCCACTACCCGCCTCCTTTTGTCTCCTCCCGTTTAGATCTGTCTCCTTTTGTCTCTATCTGGATCCTTTTGTCTCTATCTGTCTCCTTTTGTCTCTATCTGTCTCCTTTTATCTCTATCTGTCTCCCTTTGTCTCTATCTGTCTCCTGTTGTCTCTACCTGTCTCCTTTTGTCTCTATCTGTCTCCTGTTGTCTCTTTGACAGAGGACAACAGAGATAGACAGACGTTGTGTCTCTATCTGTCTCCTGTTGTCTCTATCTGTCTCCTTTTGTCTCTATCTGTCTCCTTTTATCTCTATCTGTCTCCTTTTGTCTCTATCTGTCTCCTGTTGTCTCTACCTGTCTCCTTTTGTCTCTGTCTGCCTCCTGTTGTCTCTTTCTGTCTCCTGTTGTCTCTATCTGTCTCCTTGTGTCTCTATCTGTCTCCTGTTGTCTCTATCTGTCTCCTTTTGTCTCTATCTGTCTCCTTTTATCTCCATCTGTCTCCTTTTGTCTCTATCTGTCTCCTGTTGTCTCTACCTGTCTCCTTTTGTCTCTATCTGCCTCCTGTTGTCTCTTTCTGTCTCCTGTTGTCTCTATCTGTCTCCTTGTGTCTCTATCTGTCTCCTTTTGTCTCTATCTGTCTCCTTTTATCTCTATCTGTCTCCTTTTGTCTCTATCTGTTTCCTGTTGTCTCTATCTGTCTCCTTTTGTCTCTATCTGTCTCCTGTTGTCTCTTTCTGTCTCCTGTTGTCTCTATCTGTCTGCTTGTGTCTCTATCTGTCTCCTGTTGTCTCTATCTGTCTCCTTGTGTCTCTATCTTTCTCCTGTTGTCTCTTTCTGCCTCCTGTTGTCTCTATCTGTCTCCTGTTGCCTCTTTCTGCCTCCTGTTGTCTCTCGCTGTCTCCTGTTGTCTCTTTCTGCCTCCTGTTGTCTCGTTCTGTCTCCTGTTGTCTCTAGCTGTCTCCTTTTGTCTCTATCTGTCTCCTTTTGTCTCTATCTGTCTCCTTTTGTCTCTA